TTGAGCGGCATTAATTCTTCGACAATTTAAACAATCTATTGAATTTTGCCGATAAATATACCTTTTGATTCGTGTATTATAGTACAACAATGAATAAAAAATGATTTGACTTTATTGTTTATGCAAAATCAAAACACGTGCAGTTCAAACCGTTCGCCAGTTTCTCTGGGTCGACATTGCTGTCAGTCACCTGTTCTTGTGAAAAGAAAAAAAACAAACATTTGTCGGTCTGCACATTCTCAACAACAAACAGTGTAAACTGATTTCACAACAAGTAAGGTTTATTTGACAGACTCTGTCAAGTGAGCATATGTTCACATTGACAACCAGACAACAATGGCCAGGCGCCATCTTGGAGGCGATCGTCAGCCACCCTGCCTACCCGCTGTCCGAGGGTCAAGTCGCCACTAACACAAAGTTACCTAACTTAAACTACTAGACAAATCACTGACAAGCTGCCACGTGTCGAATCGATACCTCTTTGATCAGCCTGCAGTATCCCGCACCTCAATCACAACGTCAGCTTCCGTAGCCAAACGGCCATTTTGTCGAACGTTTAATGACAGACAGCTGACCGTCACAGACTCTTGGTTGCTGGCTATGGTAATAATAGCCCAGCTGCTGTTTCTAATTTGTAAATATTGTTGTAATGTTTTAAATATCCTCACTGTTGAAGATATATTTTCATATTTTGTCCCTTTTAAAAAGATTTAAGATATGAATTATTTTATAAAGCTTCAAATTTATGCCAGAGTATTTATACCCTTGATGATATGCATAAGTTATGTTTTATATTGAATTGTCTTTAACAATACTTAGATAGTATTGAAATTGTTATAGCTTCACACTTTTAAGAATATGTTTTCATGACTTATGTATTGAATTTCTATATATTTTAATTAATCTGCAACATTGTAACGCGTGACATGCTAATAATCTCTCTCTGTTGCTTTTAACAGTATTCCAGTTATATCACGGCATGTCAGCTTAATGTGGGAGGAAAGCCCGAAGTGATGCAGGTCTCAGACGTTTACCACTTCGGGGAACGAGCACGGGTATGGTGCTGACAAACCTAGAAACATAATCGGGGCGAACCGGGAATCGAACCCACAATGATAGTTTTCTGGTGTGCCCAAGGGACGCAACTCTGCAAAGCGAAGTGTGACACTTGAGACGGCTGGACCACCCGTGCCCCGGATATTTAAGATCATATGTTTAACTTACTTAAATCGGGGAATATATAAAACATATATACATTCCCTGATAAAACCTCCCTGCCAAAGTGTCTACGATAAAATGTCAATGTTAATGTGCATTAACAAAAACATTGGAGCGAGAGTTAAATTCGGAGTCTGAAGATATGTGAACAATGTGGCAACGTTTGGGTCAGTCCGACTCAACAGGTTTGCAAATATTTACCTTGAATACGCCGCCCTAGATCGGGCCAGAAAACAGGTGTACATCATATCGGTAGTTGCGTGCTGTGAGTGTGAAGAACTCACAACACCGTGTCTGTGTATCTCGGGGGATAGGTGCGAATATAGTATTTGTTCGCCACACAAATTAATCATACAAAACTACATTATTATTACTATAAAAATTATTTATTATCAGAAAATACATATTTGAATCATCAGTGAGTCTATGTACGTATTATATCATACTAATGTAAGCAGCGACTTAAGAAACATCAATACTCCTATTTAACTATAACGGGCCGCCATCTTTGAAACTATTACTCCATACAACGTCGTGTGAGATTCATCTGCACAGCACGGAGTTGACTAACGGGATCGGGTGGTCAGGCTCGGTGACTTGGTTGATGCCATTCTTCACCACTCGCCTCTTTCCGTAACCTGCAAGAAGACTCGTCCCCCTATCGATGAATGTTATGTGCGAAAATACGACAAACCAATCAGAATGCGCGTATGATATCAAGTTATTCGTCAAAGAATCCATCGGAAATAATTTTTTATTTTACATGTCTTGCATCTAAAAATATACCCAAGACACAGTAAAATGTGTGCAATCAAACTGTATAATTCCGCACGTCCCGATGTGCTTTAAATTGCATCTGAAATATATATAATATACGGGGAAATATATGTGAACCATTACGCAACGAGTTGATAATATGCCCGTTTGTGCTAAGACGGAACCCGGTCGCAAAAATGGCCATGAGAGGGGCACAAGTCGCTATTCGGCTTGTCCCGGAATAACACGAGTTGGTCACTAATGGGTTTATGCATGCTCGTGATATCAATCACTAGATGGCCTGGTCTCTCGATTATTTACAAACCGCAGCATTGAGCTTGAATATTGCTGAGTGCGGCGTTAAACAACAAACAAACACTTTCTATCCTGTTGGCTTCCGGTTTCTTTGTTTACAAAACATTTAGAATGAGTATCTGTCCCACGGGAATAGCCAGCAGTCGCTCCATATCTCCGAGCCCGGTTCAATGATCCAGTCCTGTATGATCTTCAACAGTACTTCTTACAGGCACGCAAACCTTGAATACTGTCATCTGTCTCCCTGCCTCCAAACACCCAACCTGTTTTCGTCGGATGACCCCCATTGTCCTATCTCGCAGCAAATGTCGACAGGTCTATTCGGCCACTACGCCGGGACGGCGGTCTCTCTGCTCTTTCGTGTCATGGTAATCTCACACACCTCTACTGAACCACGCCCAGTCTACATCAGTATTACTCGACAAACCCATTAAGATGTGTGTTCTTTCGGGGTTTACCATGAAACAAAAAGACATAAAAATCCGAGTGTCTCTTCAATGGTCATGTTTCTTTGAAAAGAGTAAGTACCTTTACGTATGCTCAGAGGTTTTTCATGTTTCGTTTTTCCCCTTCGCTTCCGCGTGGTCTTGTGGTAGAGCGTCCGCCCGGAGAGCGGAAGGTCCAGGGTTCGATCCCGGGCCGCGTCATACAAAAAGACGTTAAAAGATTGTACTTGTTGTTACCCTGTCTGGCGCTCGGCATCAAGGGGCTAAAACAAGGACTGGTCGGCTCGGAGTCAGTATACTGTGTCTGAGTGGGGTATTCATGTTAAACTGCGGCATGGTATCTCAGTGAGCTAGCACTATAAATCGGCATTAGTCCGGACTAGTACAAGCAGCCACACACACACATACACGTGCATGCACGTCGCTATATAAGTGCAATAATCTTGGACGCGACGTTAAACCCAATTTCACCTCACCTCACCCTTCGCTTCCGGCAGTAAAATCGCTTACAATCTGACACAGCGGCGTCATATCCTGTCGGCAGACTGGGCACATCCTTGAACCAGGAATCCAACCTAACTTCCGGCAACAACCGGTGACAGAACCCCCAGACAGAATTTCTGCAACAAGACTCGATGGGTTATATGAAAGATACTTTTCTGTAATTCACTGCACGCTCGTTACTGACCTACGGTCCGTTTCACAAGGCTATCGTAGCGCTAAAGTTACCGTAACTCCCATACTTTAACAGACTTTCAACTGGCGTTGCGCAGCGATCGCCTTGTGGAACAGGGCACTGAACACTCACGTCAGTTTTTGTCGAGATCTTCGTATTCTGTGACGGGCGTACCTCAGCTTTTGCAACCGAATAAATGTCAAATGTAGTCCATGGGTTTATTTTCACTGAACTTATATCAGAATCTTCAAAGGAATCGTTTATTGTATCGCCGCAACTCATTTCCGTTTTTCAACAGACGTGGCACCGTGTATGACTCCGAAATTCGCCGATTTTACATATTGCATCTAAAAATATACCCCAAACACAGTCAAATGTGTGCAATCATACTGTATAATTCCACACGTCCCGATGTGCTTTAAAATGCATCTGAAATATATATAATATATGGGGAAATATATGTGAACCATTACGCAACGAGTTGACAATTGTTTTAGGTATGCCCGTTTGCGCTAAGACGGAACCCGGCCGCAAAAATGGCCATGAGAGGAGCACGAGTCGCTATTCGGCTTGTCCCGGATAAACACGAGTTGGTCACGAATGCTCTTTAGGGAGGTTACAGAAAAGATATTACCACTCATCTCCGTTCCCATATGAGTAATAAAACACTTCACTTGGTAATCACACGGGGTCGCTAAAACCCTCGCATCTTCCTCACTTACACAGCTGCCGATATGATACATGGCATTTCTTCCTTGATTTCGAGTCAGCTACTGATGCGGACACTGGGACGTTATGCATAGATTGAAAAGGCTTTAAGTGTAAGCGACAAAACCCATTCCACAGTACGATTTTCACAATATGTGTTTATGAATCCCTATCAAACAGACCCGTGAAAATCCGGGTTAGAATAGGTCTTCAGCAACCCATGCTTGCCGTAAAAGGTGAATATGCTTGTTGTAAGAGGCCACTAACGAGATCGGGTGGTCAGACTTGCTGACTTGGTTGAAGCATGTCATCATATCCCAATTGCGTGGGTCGATGCTCATGATATAACTCACTGGATTGTCTGGTACAGACTTGATTATTTACAGACCGCCGCCATATAGCTGGAGTTGAGTGCGGCGTTAAACAACAAACAATCAAACTACTGGCTTCACCTGTCTAAATATTTACTTTTTTGTGTACGTAACAGGCTTCTCCACTTCAGTGTAACTTCATCCGAACCTACTCAAATGTATCAAAACTGCCTCATAAATGTATATATACTTGTCAACCAAACTCTGTACATCACTTGCTTGATAACAGTGTTACAACCTAAGCATACTCGCGTTTTACGGCAAGCTTGGGTTGCTGAAGACCTATTCTACCCCGGATCGTGTATGATGTAAACAAATGTAATATGTAATATATCTTACTTTCACCTGTGTTTATAATCGATGTATTGTAAATAAAACAAAATGGTTACTAAAAGATATGAACGTATATTTATCTACCCATGAATAAATGGCTGCCTCGGTTAAATTTGTTTTGCTTCTGTGGAGTGATCGTTGCTTCGGCACTCATACATCGGGTTGCATAGGATTGGCCAACCGCTCTGACTCGGGTGTTTCCGGGTGTTATCGGGACGAAATCTGACAAGCGACAGATCTGGTCTAGGCGCTGGACAACACGGACGTATCAAGCCAAACCAATCTACCTCGAACCACTATCAGCAAAACGTTCACTGAAAGGTAAGTACATTCCCCTATGACTTCACGTTGACGACCTATGTAACCTTGACATGACCCCCGAAATTGTGACAACTGCGGTATTGTTAGGCTCCGTGGCGAGCAGGTCCGCCGGGCATAAAGCATCTAAAATGACGCCGTCAGACTGCCACATATTTTCGTCATGCGTCGCATATTGTTCCAGTATTTCTCAACCATCTCACTCCTCCACTATCTTACTCCTACTGTCACACTGATGATGTATTACACTATCTGATCATAAACTTACGTAACAAATATAATATGACAATATTTCAGCACAAAAATGTAATATATCAATGCAAATGATCATCTGACTGGCGGCAGATCTAGTCTAGGCGCTGGACAACACGGACATATCAAGCCAAATCCATCACAAGGCGTTGACCTTTACATGACCCCCGAAATTGTGACAGCTGCGTCGTGACGACCAGGTCCGCCGCGCAAAAAGTATCTAAAATGACGCCGCCAGACTGCCGTGTTGGTCGGATGTTATTATTTAATCAGTGAGTGGCAACTTTTGTACAATAATGTAAAAAATGTCTCTCTCTCTCTCTCTCTCTCTCTCTCTCTCTCTCTCTCTCTCTCTCTCTCTCTCTCTCTCTCTCTCTCATAGGCCCATATTATAATTCTGTTTTCGGGAGTGGTTACAGATCCGTTTAACAGGTCATATTCTAATTAACATTGCATGATAAATGTACATTGATAGATGTTTTAGAGTATCTTCATCAGTATCTAACAGAAAATGAAACTCATCTTCAATCACATTTAATCCACATAAACTGTGCTTAACTTATTCTAAGCCTTTTAAAATCGATATCAAACAAATAGTATTCTGGGGAAATAGTTGTCTTAAAAAGCTTGTATTAATTGCATTTTTCTGAACTTAAAACGTGGCGTATAGATACTAAAAACGAATCTGGATTGTTAGGTACACATTGATTATGACAAATATACCCATAGCCGCATTCATTTAATAACGACTTTACATCATATACCCAATTGCGGATTCCGTGTTTTTCATTATAACATTTTCTAGGTAATCTATCAATAGGCATTTTAAGAATCTTGAACCAATACTGGAGAATTCTAATATGTTTAAATATGTAAATTATATATATTCACCATATACCATAACACTCGATGTACAGGGGTTTTTTCACCAAGGAATCGTTTACAAGCATATAGATGGACCAGTTCAATAGTTTTTATTCAGAATAACCCCAGACCTCTGCGCTATATAAAAGAATTGGAGTAATGTTTGTATCAAATATTTAAAAAAAGGTTTTATATGAAAGATCAGTGAAAGTTTTTAAACTATGTAAGATTCCCATTAGTATCTTTTGGTCTGCATTGCTGCATTACTGGTGTGGTAATTCCACGATAATCTGCCTGTGAAAGTAACCCCATTTATAAGATTTGACAATTTGTAACGGTTGTGAGTTGAAGAACCATTGTTCCCTTCTTGATAGTTTATTTCCCTTTTTAAAAACTAACACTTTCGTTTTCTGTGTTCACTTGAAATTAACAATCAGAACAGTACAGCTCCAGTTGATCTATCAAATTCTGTAAACCGTTTATCGTACTAGAGAACAGAACTATATCATCAGCAAAAAGCTACAGAAGTATCTTAAAAATATCTGGATGCAGCTGTATACCATCCGTACAATTTTCCTTAATTTGTGCAGCCAGTTCATTGATGAAAAACAGAACAGGAAGGGGCTAAGAATACAGCCTGGGCATACACCAATGTTACAAGTGAAGACATCAGAACATATTCAACGATTTTTAACACATGACTTCACATTTTGATAAATATTGCATAATAATTCACCCATTTACCATCTATGCCGGAACTCTTGCTGTTTTTCAAATTATAGATAGCTTTTTGAATTTCCTCTCTTGTAATTGGCGAGCAAGAATTGTAGCAGTTATGTCACATGTTTCCTGATCTGAACATTAAAAGTAGGTATCATCCCTAACACCATTACCACTAAACATAGTTTTGAAATAATCACACCATTTATCAATTTCAATATTATTTTTAAACTCATAATGTGGATTTAGCTTTCCGAGGGTTGTCCAAAATCCTTTCGACGACTTAATGTTATCTTCCAAATATTGTTTTTTTTCTTTTCAAGAAATATATGCTTCTTTTCCCTGCACGAGGTTTTGTAAAGTTTTCTAATTCTTGTATATTCCCTTAACGACTGCAAATCTTTATCTCTTCTGAATGTGTTGAGGCATGTACATCTCTCTTTTTTTAGTAACTGACATTCCCAATCAATCCATTGTTGTGTTTTCGTATCCATGTGAACGACTTTCTTCATTTCGTCACCGGCATAGGAGATTGCCAATCTAATAAACTCAATACTTTCATAAATATTTGTGAATACGGCTAACAAGTGATACTAACTTGTCTGAAGATTCGTTGCAAAGAAATATGTCTTCTTTATCAATTCTCCATTTAAATCTAAATGTTCTTACATAATTGATATCATGATAACCATCGATGTCTGAGTGAAGCGTACACGTACGTGAAGATATTGCTAATGGAAAATGTTGCGTCTTGTACCTAGTGTCTATGTCGAATGTTTTACAGAGGTCACACATATGTACGGTGGAGATAATACAGTCATGTACGCTTGCCCCTGTACTACTGATGAATGTATAGTCCCCAATACCAGCGACCATTCAATATTTAAGATAGAGCATAGGTTCATCAAACATTTAACAGATTTATTTAAAATATTATCAGCAGAATATATCTGTAAATCAAAATGATCTATCAAGAAATACCAAGACGAGTTATCACGACCTTCAAGATTATCCAAAATGTCGTCTTTCACAAAGTCGGGTTCTGTCCCTGTTCTGAAGTTAACGTCTCCCCCCAAAATACATGAAACGTCATCGATCTGATTTCAAATATCCGGGAGCTCGTCTTTGAACATCAGTACACCATTTCTAGAAGTAGCACGTTTATTATAATTGGTTGAGCCTTCTGGGTGTATATGTACACACAACAGTACAGCACGTTTGTTTCAGAACCAAACAGTACTTTGTCAAATAGAATGTAAATACCACTTTCTTTCATTCAAGTCCGTTTAATATATTTTTTCAGCTGTTTTCTAGCCATAACTATAATACCGCCAGAGAGTCTCCCTGCTATTGCTAACTAATCACCTGGTCTTTTATAATATAGATAATCAGCCAACTTGTTCTGGAAATCTAACTTCTGAATCCACGTTTCTGTGAGGCCTACAATGTCAAATGAACGTAAATATGAAACAAAGTCACAGTCTTCTAATTTAGATTTCAATCCAGATAGATTCCAAACTAAGAGTTTTATGGTAGGAGAGTCAACACTTTTTAAATCCTCTGAGTCTTGGTAGTATGGAGTATATATCAAAGCTATACAGACCCCCTGCTGAAACCCACTTCTCCCTAAATTGCCTGCGATATTGGCCCCAAAACTGTGTCACTGAAGTAATACATACGGTTATAACGAACTCAAAGGAACTACTAATTTTAGTTCGTTATAACCGTAATTCGTTATAAGCATATATACAGCATAACTACAGCATATCGTCGGGACTAAAAGCGTGTTCGTTATAACCGTAGTTTACTGTACTACTTTTGAAGACTCGAACCTGTAGATCCTGAAAATGGACCATGTATCCCTATGATTTTGTATAGTTGCGTCCGATTTTCTAGTTATAAACGTCCAGGTTAGCCATGAAGTCCTGGCTACGAAGCAACTTCAACAAAGATAGCATGATGTTTAATGGTTTCTTTATATACAACAGGGTTTGTGTGCTTTAGTTGGGAACGACAGCTGGATCTACGAGATGTTTGGTGCTCTAGAATGAAGTATGTTGTCTATCTAACTGGGGCAATGCTAATCAGCACCACGCCCAGGAACCCCTGACGTATGTTGTAATAATAAGGTTATGTTTCACAATGCCTGAGGTTGTACGTGACACACCTTGAACCCGCACAGCATCCATGTATGTGTCAGCAATGTAAATAAGCGAGGGGCCTTTTGCATCAGGCGACACTTGATCTTCTGAAGCACTGCTGCAACAAAACGAATGACACATCAGAGAACTGGATCCAAATATGTTTTACCCCGAGCTCTATACAGTGCAAGGATACACAGCCAGACAGACAATTTATTCAGTATGTAAGGTCATATGTCCCATAGTGCAGTTCAGTTTTAACAGGGGGCACGGATGGCCCACTCGTCTAAGGCGCTTTCAGAGTTGCCTTCCCTGGGCACGCCAGAAACCTATGATTGTGGGTTCGAATCCCGGTTCACCCCTGATTATGTTTCTAGGTTTGTCAGCACCATACCGTGGGTTTCACCGAAGTGGTAAACGTCTGAGACCTGCATCACTTCGGGCTTTCCTCCCACATTAAGCTGACACGCCGTGATATAACTGGAATAATGTTAGAAGCGGCGTTAAAAAACCCAACTCACTCACTCAATCGGCTTTAACAGATACATGAAAACCAACGTGATCTTGAACATAATATCATAGCATAATATATAATCACCGGAGTCTAAATACATGTTTTAAATACATTGCTAAAGATTTGATAACATCTTAAAAAAGACACAGTTACCTCGGTTGCGTTCTAAGTGTCACCGATAATGGCCCGACTATGCGCCCAGGTGAGACGCCGGGATCGAAGTACGAATAAACACGAGGTAATCCGAGTGGCGTGAACTAAAACGCCCCAGATGATTTTCCCCGCACAAGGTTGTGAATGACGCAGTGTTAAAAGGGAATACTTCGTCCTCAAGGTATGACATACGCTTCATTAGCCATGTAAAGATATGCATGCCAAGCGCATTAATGAATATCAAACTAAATTCTAGTATGCATTCGTGTCTTTGGCATCAGAGCTCACGTTATCGTTCAATTGAGCCGGCCAAATTCTAGAAAAATGTGTGAACGTTTAATTACTTCTTTGATAGGCATTTAGAAGTTGGAGTACTAAGTAAGGATAAGAATTTATTGATGAACAACTTCTTTATTACAATTAAGAGCAACGTTTCGGTGTAGGTTCTAACACCGTTATCCAGCAAGTGATTTACAGAGTATGGTTGGCATGTATATATACAAGTAGGATGTTAAACATTGCCTCTTACTTGTATATATACTTGCCAACCACACTCTGTAAATCACTTGCTTGATAACGGTGTTAGAACCTACACCGAAACGTCGCTCTTAATTGTAATAAAGAATTATTCATCCATAAATTCTTATCCTTACTTAACACTTAATTAGCATCAACGCCATCATTAAAAATGATCATGTGACCATGTGGAATGTGCAAGTGTGCCTAGCCGAGAGCCTCAATCAGGGCAGAGAGTCCAGACCCGACATTTTAGTGAAGGAAAACATTATTTAAGCTGTTTCGAGACTCGAAAGTGGTTGTCACATCGGTGAAATGTAAACAAGGACACACCCCCCATTTTCGTCAGTGATATTTTCGTTAATATTTCGGGTCAGCTCGCTGTTGTCACGAAATCGTACACATGATACATGGAATTAAACGACCACGTTAATGAAATACCGTTGGCATATTTATTTTATGACGCAAATGTCGCCGACTATGCCCCGTTTTCTCCCATTGTAAAGTGGTGGGTTTAGCGGAGTTATTGAACGCCCTGTATAATAACTAGAAAAAACGAACACTTTTGATCCGTAATAATGGTATATAATGATAGGGTCTTCATTGGTTCTGACATTTGGCTTTGGATTTTATTCACATGAAAAGTCATTCATTTGGCATTTGTTTTCTTATTACACAATGAAATTAATCATAAATAGATCCATTAATTTTGGAAAAATAATTGATTAAATCCAATATAGTGTTTTTTAACTATGTGTGTTCTTGTAAAAATGTCGGATCTGAATGGCATAACAATAAAGAATATGTTAATTATTTTAAAGTAATTTGGTACAGTGGCATACACATCCATGTGTATTCTCTTTTTCACAGGATGAAAAAAGTGAAAATGTAACAGTAGTCATGGTGTGGCATGTTATAATTATACATATTATTTATCATAAAAATTCAAATAATACATTCTAAGGAACACACATGCAAGTAACAAATAACCATAACTTTCAAGCATATTAAAAATAAATGTAATTTAAGATGATTGTACTGACCAATCTACACTAACTCCAAAGGGTTTTCAACAATCAGACATCTGAGAAAATTCCATCTTGTTTTTTCACAACAAATTGAACAATTTAACATGATCTAAAAACATGCAAAGCTGATGAACATGATGTCCTGAATAAAAGCAAAAACAAAAATTAACATACTCAGTTTTTGGAACTTGTTAGTATGTGAATAACAATGAAAAATTGGTCAACAAGTTCAATACAAATCTTGATCAAAGCAAAATCACTGATTCTGTGTTGAACCAGGTATGGAAGCAGTACTGTTAAAGCATAAGAGTGTGAAGCAAACAGATTCAAATGCATCATTTTATCCACTGGCTGAATAAATGATGACATCATATTACATGTACATGTATGTGAGTTATTACTTTTGTCAGATCTACTTGTATATCATGCTCTAAATGATGTCAGTATATGCTTTGATACTGGCTTTGAGCCCCCAAAACTATGGTACTCATAGTCAAGACAAGTTCCATGGTACCGGGTAATCGTCGCCCTTAAGAGGTCACAAATAAATAGTGGAAAGTACACGTGTCTGCAGCTTTCATCCTCAAATCTTACATTTTCTGTGCAAATCTGCACTTTTAATGTTATGTATTACCATCATGATCATGTTGGTTTTCTTTTCCAATACTTGAACAATAATGTAACTTAATTTATTTTATTGAGTAGTTTATTTGTAGATAATTTCGTACACAGATATTTCATCTAACATGATGATTATAATCATAACTATTTTTCAATAATAATGGTATGCACAGTTCTTTATGTTGTTCTGTACACAGTGGCTACATTGCATCATATAGAATACTCATGGATGTGTACCAAATTGATTCAAAATTATGAACATATTATTTATTATTATGTCATTCAGACCCGACATTTTTACATGATCACACACAGAAACACTAGATTGAAATTAATCAAATATGTTTCCAAACTTATTAGATTAATTTCATTGTGTAATAAGAAAACAAATGCCAAATGAATGGCTTTTCATGTGAATAAAATCCAAAGGCCAAATATCAGAACCAATGATAGACCCTATCACTAAATAGAGCATTCATGAAAATGTTAAGAAAAAATTATAACCACCCGTCCTAGCGTTTTTCGATAGTAAATACATGTCGGGTCCGTCATGTTTGTTCGTCTGGTGGAGGCGGCTATTGTGCAGTCAATGCCTGGGTCAGTGTAGCACCAGCGCAGCATACCCAGGGAACCAGGCTGATATAATTTTGGGGAAATTTGGAATTTTGAAGAATGCCGTGCTATAGGTTGGGGCACTATGTGTGGTTTTGGGTTATTTTGTGTTTTATTATTATTATCGTTATGTATATATTCTTTTAGTTTGATTTTATAATATATATATATATATATATATATATATATATATATATATATATATATATATATATATATATATATATATATATCCCAAAGAGGGACAGGTCAGCCGAAATTGCTTTGACAGAAGGCGGCTTCTTAAACACTTAATGCAACAACAACAACAACGATCTAGCTTAGGATTAAATCTAGCATGCTTCACCAACCCATGCTTGCCGTAAAAGGCGGCTATGCTCCAACAGGATCGGGTGGTCGGACTCGCTGACTTGGTTGATGCATGTCATCGCATCCCAATTGCGATTGGATCGATGCTCGTGATGTCAATCATTGGATTATCTGGTCTGGACGCGATTATGTACACCGCCGTCATATAGCTGGAATATTGCTGAGTGCGGCGTTAAACAACAAACAAATTCTTCAAAAGGATCATGATATTAGAGTTCAACAGTACCTCCTCATGTGTGGCTGATAACTGTGCTGTTGTCGTTGCAGCACTTGAAGATGGCGGCAATACGAAGTTGGCTGGCGGCGGTATCACTTTGTCTCATGATAAACATAGTTGACATGAGTAAGTCATAACTTTTGCAACACCTTTAATATCAATAATCACATGATAATCCTTGTTGTAACAAAATGGTAAAAGCGTTTTCAATTCCAAGTTTTTTGCAGCAATGGATGTACCTCCATACAGACATTTAATCGCATAACTGTAGGCTTGCACTTATAATAAACACATTCAGTATGTTTTTTGTAAATGTGATGTATGTATCACCGTCGACGCCTCAATTCGCGGTGCAGAGTTGCGTCCCTTTGGAACGCCATAATCCTATGATTGTGGGTTCGAATCCCGATTTGCCCCGATTATGTTTCTTGGTTTGTCAGCATCATAACAGTGTTCGTGGTTTCACCAAAGTAATAAACGTCTGAGACCTGCATCACTTCGGGCTTTCATCCCACATTAAGCTGGCACGCCATCACAAAACTGTAATACTGTTTAATGCGGCATTAAATCCAACTCATTCACTCACTTACTGTTTCTGTCGTTCCAGGGATAGAAAACTGCTGGACAAACAGCCAGTGCGGGTCATGCTCCTCCACACAACCCAATGCTTTCGGTCCGGGCACTGTGTGCTGCCCGAGCTGTACTCCCGGCGTCCTGCAGATGGTTGAAGGCGGGACGTGCACGTGCGACATTTCCGTTGCAGCCCTGCCTGTGAGAGTGTCCGTCATTGCATCCGCAATCACACTGACACTGTCCATCTGCCTGAAACATCTCCTGCATTGAACCCACCCTACTAAAACTAAGCATCTTCCGGACCCATCCCCTGCATTAGAGCCTGGTCAGATGAGCCTCCAACATCTCCTACATTGAAACCTGATCCTACAAACACTGTCTGCCTGAAACACCTCCTGCATTGAAACCTGATCCTCCAGACACTATCTGCCTGAAACATCTCCTACATTGAAACCTGATCCTGCAGACAGTATCTGCCTGAAACATCTGCTACAATGACACCTGATCCTACAGACACTGTCTGCCTGAAACACCTCCTGCAATGAAACCTGATCCTACAGACACTGTCTGCCTGAAACACCTCCTGCAATGAAACCTGATCCTACAGACACTGTCTGCCTGAAACATCTCCTACATTGAAACCTGATCCTGCAGACACTATCTGCCTGAAACATCTGCTACAATGACACCTGATTCTACAGACACTGTCTGATTGAAACACCTCCTGCAATGAAACCTGATCCTTCAGACACTATCTGCCTGAAACATCTCCCACAATGAAACCTGATCCTACAGACACAGTGTCTATCTGCCTGAAACATCTCCTATAATGAAACCTGATCCTACAGACACTGTCTGCCTGAAACATCTCCTGCAATGAAACCTGATCCTACAGACACTGTCTGCATGAAACACTTCCTGCAATGGAACCTGATCCTGCAGACACTATCTGCCTGAAACATCTCCTACAATAACACCTGTTTCACAGACACTACCTGAAACACCTCCTGCAATGAAACCTGATCATGCAGACACTATCTGCCTGAAAATCTCCCACAATGAAACCTGATCCTACAGACACTGTCTACATGAAACATCTCCTACAATAACACCTGATCCTACAGACACTATTTGTCTGAAACACCTCCCACAATGAAACCTGATCCTACATACACTATCTGCCTGAAACATCTCCTACAATGGAACCTGATCCTACAGACACTTTCTGTCTAAAACACCTCCTGCAATGAAACCTGATCCTACAGACACTGTCTATCTGCCTGAAACATCTCCTAAAATGAAACCTGATCCTACAGACACTATCTGCCTGAAACGTTTGGTGCATCTCGACCTGCATTCGCTTACCACACTCCCATCTTTTCTGGACATAGGGAACGTTGCTGGAATCTAAGATCGACTGGTTTGTTTCCAATGCAACCTGATCCTGTGTTTCTATCCAGTAATCTGGGATGTTCCAGGTGCTCTGTTTTAAAATGCGTGGTGTTTTAGAAGCCATGTGGACGTTATGTAGATGACTCCCAAGCAGTGCATCAAGTTTGTATGTTGCTTTGTAATAGGCGGATCCAGAGGCTTGTGATATCCTGCCCCCACCACCCCCACCCCCACCCCCTCCCTTTTCAAAATGCTGGACCCGCCCTTGTTTTTATAATGTAACGAAGTTGTAAATCCTTTGTATTGAGTCAAATTTATACTACTTTCTACTCGACAGACTCCTATTTGTTTGAAAATATATATTAAAAGGTTCCTTTTTGTATGTAGTTTGATGTTAGCTAAAATTAGCTTTGTTTGTTTGTTGTTTGACGCCGCACTCAGCAATATTCCAGCGATATGACGTCGGTCTGTAAATAATCGAGTTTGGACCAGACAATCCAGTGATTGTCAACATGAGCATCGATCTACGCAATTGGGATACGATGACATGAATAATCCAAGTCAGCGAGCCTTACCACCCGATCCCGTTAGTCGCCTCTAACGGCAAGCATGGGTTGCTGGAGATCTATTCTACCTCGGATCTTCACGGGTTGCTAAAATTAGCAGTCAGATAGTGTTGGTATGGTGACATGGCCAGATTGTTGACTGACCCTGGGCTGTGGCTGGAGAGGCCCCTGTCTGTGTGGGCAGTCCTGGCGTTTACTCTGTAAGGTCACATGTGTCACCGACACACCGCTCGCCCTCAACCAACTACTGCTTGCTTTCGTTATCAACACTGGCATGCTATTTACTTAGGGTTGCATGACAGTTTGTGTTGTGGTAATATGTTAAAAAGTCAGTTTGTTTGTTTGTTTGTTTGTTTGTTATTGAACGACACAATCGGCAATATTCGAGCTACATGACGGCTGTCTGTAAATAATCGAGTGTGGACCGGACAATCCAGTGATTGACAACATGAGCATTGATCCACGCAATTGGGATACAATGACACGCATCAGCCAAGTCAGCGAGCCTGACCACCCGATCCCGTTAGTCGCCTCTAACGGCAAGCATGGGTTGCTGAAGACCTATTCTACCCCGGATCTTCACGGGTCGCTAAAATTAGCAGTCAGATAGTGTTGGTATGGTGACATGGCCAGATCCTGTTAGTCGCCTCTTACAAGCAATGTCGCCATTTACAGCAAGCATGGGTTGCTGAAAGCCTATTCTACCACGGATCTTCACAGGTTGAAAACAAAGTTAGATGAATGTTAGTTGGTCACGGTGACCTTTCATAGTGAAAGCTTCCAATAGTCTGACCACTGGACAGTAGCCCCCTGACAGTAGCCCTCCAACAGTAGCCCTCCGATAGTTTGATTGGTCTGCAATAGATAGTCATGTTTTCGTCATTATTGTTTACGATCGCTGGTAGTTCTTCGGAGACACGCATCTTTTCAGATAAAAGTGAGTGAGTATGGTTTAACGCCGCTTTTAGCAATATTCCAGCAACATCACGGCGGGGGACACCAGAAATGGGCTTCACACATTTTACCCATGTCGGGAATCGAACCCGGGTCTTCGGCGTGACGAGCGAACGCTTTAACCACTAGGCTACCCGACCGCCCCTTTCAGACAAGAGACACTCATCTACACATTCTATTTGAAGATTGAATGCATACGAGGATCGGCAATACTGGACAATATATCAACATTTCTTATTGACACAATTAGTAGATATTAATTGTAGGCTGCTGCACCTTACGATCCTTCTGTGCACACATGCATGACGGCACAAAAGAGCGGGGCCTTGAAGAGTGAGTGAGTGAGTTGGGTTTAACGCCGCTTTTAACAGTATTCTAGGTTATACCATGGCGTGTCAGCTTAATGTGGGAGGAAAGCCCGAAATGATGCAGGTCTCAGACATTAACCACCTCGGTGAAACCCACAAGCACGGGTATGGTGCCGACAAACCTAGAAACATAATCGGGGCGAACCGGGATTCGAACCCACAACCATAGGTTTCTGGCGTGATCAAAGGACGCAACTCTGCACGGCGAATCGCGGCGCCTTAGACGACTGGGCCACCCGTGCCCCCGGGTAGAACAAGGGATAGTAATGAATTCCATATAAATAAGTACTTACACGGAAGGAAAATACCATTGAACAAAATTGAGGGTAGATACCTTTGTCCATAGATACGTTATCTCGCACTGACCTTTGACGGCAGGCTAAGCAAACATATCTGACAATACCCCTGACATTTCCCAATCACAGGTATCTGAGCGTCCTAAAACGATGCCTACTTGTTCAGTCTTAAAATACGTTACAGATATCCTTTTGAAAAATATTCATTATCATAATCATAATAGTAATCATTATATTAATCATAACCATGTGTAAAATTTGGAAACTTATATTAGAAGGAAAGAATACTTTCGGATAAAATGTGTTCCTAACCCCCAATGTTACAAACTGTCCGTTTTAAAAAAGTTTTCCTGCGTTCTTAACTCCAAACGTTTAACGTTAAAATCATCTTACAAGGTACCCGTTTAGGATTACAACATATCTCATTTACCCAATGCTGGTAATTGTCTCCTATATGCTGATCCAAAACAGGTAAATGTAGAAAGCAATAGGTGTATCATTTGTTTACAAAACACTTGTAAGAATATTCTAACCAGCAATCTAAACTAGAATTGTGTTTGAGAGATACTTTCCTATCATATCGAGTCTAGAGTATGACATCTCGTTTATGTAAAACTTTGTTTTATTAATCAGTCACACTATGTTTTCTCTTAAAGTCTCGCTCGATTGAAACGAGAGCCGATTCCCTTACCGTAAAGGTTCAAGTAAAGTATAAGCATCATTTCCCAAGATGAGTAGCCATCTTTCATACCATACGTCACATGAACTGGTTTTAGAGACACTGAAAGCAGAGATTAGACTCGGCGGCAACCGTCCAACATCGATTTGTCTGCACTCTGCTGTTTAACGCCGTTCACTTTCACTACTGTCAGGTCTTTGGCCTACATAGGGGAGTCACACTGCTTCGTTATATACTGACATGAAATGATCTGAGTTTGGGGGATAAGTTCATCTGTTGCCTATCGACTGGAGAATTTAAAAGTCACACAATGAAAGTTCGGAGCGACGTCACGTGACTCTCGAAAACAGATTTTGCAACAGCAGAATATTGATCGCATATTTGTGATGGGCGGTACGGGAAACAGTTGAGATTTGCGTTTATCACCTTTGTTTCGGACATAAAGTTATCTAAAAAGGGCATCGTTAAATTGTTCATCCTGCAGATTGAAAGGAATGCCTTACACAGATTTCACATAAGGTGTATTTTACTAATAGTACAATAAAGATGTAACCACTCAGTGTAACATCATAGATCTTCAGCAACCCATGCTTGCTTTAAAAGGCGACTATGCGTGTCGTAAGAGGCAACTAACGGGATCGGGTGGTCAGACTCGCTGACTTGGTTGATGCATGTCATCGTATCCCAATTGCGTGGATCGATGCTCATAATGTCAATCACTGGATTGTCTGGTCCACACTCGATTATTTACAGACAGCCGTCATATAGCTGGAATATTGCTGAGTGCGGCGTCAAACAACAAAAACAAACAACCAAACCTAACATAGAGACAAACAACTCAAAATGAAAGCATTCCGAGAATGGTGACTATTCAACAAACTACGGTATCCTGGCATGTAGTTTATTATCACAAACGAAAGTTGGTTTAAAAGTTCTGTATAGTACACCCTTAACATTCACATCATGGCAGAATTCTTTATGACTAATTTTGAAGAAGCTGCTTTAATATCCTCCCCGTCCAACCTCTATGCTGATACAGACAAGGAGACAGTTCACCATCCTAGACGAAGACCAGGACCCTGGAGCCCTGCTGGACCACCTCAACCTACAACACCAGAGAATCATGGTCACCATGGAAACAGAAAGCCACCAACAATTACCCTTCCAGTCATGACAACATCCACACTGCCGTCTACCGCAAATCCAATCACACGGACGAGTACATTCACCACATGTCAAACCACCATCCTCAGATCAAACAAGCCATACTTGCCATCCTCGCCCGACGAGTCAGAGCCATCTGCAATTCAGACAGCAAAGACATTCAGCATCTTAAAAACACAATCATCTCCATCAATGGAAATATCAAACCTCTGATAAAGAGCACCATACGGAAAACCCAAGAAACCCAGCAAGGAGATCCCGTTTTAAAGTCCAAACCAGCCCCATCACCCAGTATCCTATACCAAGGCCCTACTAGTCACCAGCTCAGCAGACAGCCAACGTAGACGTGATCTCCGAAGGTGCGGTGAGGTGAAATTTGGTTTAACGTCGCGTCCAAGATTATTGCACTTATATAGCGACGTGCATGTACGTGTGTGTGTGTGTGTGTGTGTGTGTGTGTGTGTGTTTGTGTGTGTGTGTGTGTGTGGCTACTTGTACTTGTCCGGACTGATGACGATTTATAGTGCTAGCTCATTGAGATACCATGCCGCAGTTTAACATGAATACCCCACTCAGACACAGTGTACTGACTCCGAGCCGACCAGTCCTTGTTTTAGCCGCTTAATGCCGAGCGCCAGACAGGGTAACACCAAATATAATGTCTTTACCACAAGGCCACGGAGGCAGTCCGTGACCTCCGAAAGGGCACTGAAAAATATGCTACACGCCAACGGTAAAGGTCACATCCAGTCCAGCCCAAACCCCAGTGGTTGTGTGTGGACACAAATACATGACGCTGCCGGGGATCGAACCCCGGACCTTTCGCTCTCTGGGCGGACGCTCTACCACTAGACCACGGAGGCGGTCCAACAACCAAGTAATTAGAGGTATATATGCATGACATGTTGTGATAAGCAGCAGATTAACACTAACCTGTTGCTGTCCCAGAACATTTATACCATGGGAAATTAGAACCTTTTATGTCATTGTGTAGGTAGAGAACTGAGGGATCAGGGTCGGGTGGGTGGGGATAGTGGGGTGAAAATGTGGACATGAGAAATGTGGGGTATTTATGTGCTTCTGGAAGACGGTTCTGGGACAATTTTGCTAATAATCCATCCCAGTATATAAATTTATATTCCACAGGAAGCAAACACCTGGCATACTTCTCCTATGTTTTTGTATCTTATTCGAAATATTTATAGTGACGTTAAGTACGATTAGCAGACAATAATGACAATAGTTATTTTTTTCTCTTTATTTATGGTTTTTTTCTCTTTTTATTAACGATATTGTCAGTGAATGGTCAGTATGCCAGTATCTTGGTATGACAGTTTCATATATTCGTGACCCGTGAAG